AGAGAGAGAGAGAGAGAGAGAGAGAGAGAGAGAGAGAGAGAGAGAGAGAGAGAGAGAGAGAGAGAGAGAGAGATGCAGTCGATGGCAAATTGAGTGCTGGAGTGCGCCCCAGATTCAACTACTAAACTCTAAAACCACCACTACATCTCCTCACTACTTTGTTCCGATACATTACTATGGGTCGGACTCGACTGCATGGCAACCGCCTTGAGCTTGGAAAATGTCCACACACCGAAATCGACGTACCTCCCCTCCCCTGCGTTGGCATGAGATAGTGAGACAACCATTGTTTGGTAACCCCCACATCTGCGATAACCAAGGGCAACCTTTTCACATGTTCAAACGCTCGCAGTGGAAACAATGGGTTGCCAAAGGGATTTTTGCAGTAGGGGACATCTGGGACTTCCATCGGGGAACATGGAAAACAGCTGAACAAATGAAAGATCAACTGCGGTATGTCAGATATAGAGAGCAAAAACTGGAACAGCTGCGGGAAGCGATACCCCTTGCATGGATCCCGCCTCTGAAAAAAGGGCCCACAATTGAAAAAGGCGATTGGGTTGTTCACTGGCCTCAAACTGCTTCTCCTTGCCTCGTCAGCAAGGTGACAGACGTGACAACTTCAACTGCCCGCCTGGAAGCATATGAGATCACCTCCCTGGCTGCCTCATGCTCCACGTTGCAAAGAAGCCGGGAACGGGACACTGTCCACAATTGGGCAGGCCTGATCAGAATACGGGTGATAGAAGGAACGGACCAGTCTCGGTTTGTGTTCCGACCCTCTTGCCCTATCGCAACCCTTCCCTTTGACCCAGCGGAATGGCAATGGCCCCAGAATGGTGCTGCCTCACCGCTGAGAACATGGGATTAGTCGGTTAAACAGGGATACCGGGTGATACATAAGACGCAATCCACAGAGAAGATTGTGCAGAAAAGGTGGGGGAGAGAATCCATCCTGCAGCCGAATGATCTGGGGAACTTTAGATGGACCCGATATACGAACATAATGCCGACATCCCACCGGGCCCTCCAATGGCAGATACTGTACCGCTGCCTACCTACCCCTGACTGGCTCGTTTCGCGGACTCATCTAGAACAGAAAGGCCTTCTCTCACCCATCTGCAGTTACTGCGATTGGTTTTCCCAACCATCCCGAGCTACTTTGGAACATTGTCTGTTGGGTTGCCCCATGGTGACCCAAATATGGAGGTGGTGGGATGCGGCCTGGACTGTCCTTACCGACTCTCAACTCCCGTGGGACCCCAAACTTCTACTCCTGGGGAGCTTATCTACTCCCCTGACAGACTGGCCCCCTTATGACCAAAATCTGTTTCAGATAACGCGAATCGAGCTCCTGATGCTCGCGTGGAGAATGCGCTGTTCTTTCGAGAGAAAGCAGCACACCTTCACTCTCCCTCATGCAAAAGAGCACATGTCACAGTATCTCGCCGGAAGGGTGAGAGCAGCATGGCATCAGACCAAGGCCCAGATCTTGAAAATAAATGACGACCCCATCCTCTCACTGGCTCAAAAGCGGAACAAAGAGCTGGAACTGACGACTGGGTTTTCTGAAACTTGGCTGGGCCACAGGAAAGCTATGGCGGACCTCCAGGATTCCCAGATCCAATGGAAAAACTGGCGGGTTGAGGAGCACAATTGGCCCCTTAAGCCTTACTCCCACTTTGAAATCCCCTTCGCAGCAAACCCCCCTTCTTTCATCCTCCTTCCGTGATGCACTCGCCACACCGCCGTCCCTCTTTCCTCATCACCCTCCCCCCCTCCCCTCATCTACTGCAACCAGGTTCCTCTGCTGTGACACTGGTGTGTCGGTGACTGCGGGTGATCCGGACAACTGGACTCGAATGATGGATGGGGGATGGAAGAACGCGAAGCGTGAGGAAACCAGGTTGATTTGGTGATCAGGGGGTTACCCTCCACTGAGGGTTATGGGCTTACGAGCACATGGGGTTCAAGTGGTTTTCTGCAGCAACATTGGAACGCGTTCTCGGCTTCTTCATACCATTCCCAGTGCTGCTCTGCTTATGTCCTGTGGCCCGGGTTTGCGGGGTCTGAGTGTATTCTGCTTGGTTTTGTTTCTTAGTATCTCCCGGGAACTGTCTCCTCTGTTTTATGTCTCTCAAGTTCTGGTTTTCTGGGAACCGTCTCCCCCCACCTTCCACAGAACCGGTTCTCTGTTTTCTCGATTGTGGTTTAAGTACGGGTTCAACGAAGAGGCCCATAGGGTTTTAGTAGGGTTTAAGTACGGTTTAAGTAGGGTTTAAATGATGGGGTCGAGAAATGTTTTTTTTTAACAATCTGTGGTTATATCACTTGACACCACAGTGACAATAAATAGGGGTGTTGGTAGATTATGGCAGACACGGCGACAAAAAATAGGGGAGCTGTGAATTCTGCCTGGTTGACAATAAACGTGCTCCGTAACGGGATGGGTGACACTTGCAGCTCCGAGGGAAAAGGAGACTCGGGTTTTAAATGACAAATTGATCAAGGCCAAGGAAGACAGAAATTTCTGTGTTACAAAGTTATGTTGGCAGCTAACTCCCTCCATCCTGCCGGTTTTTCTCACCGCCGTCGGGACGGATGGCAAACGCAGGCATGTTGGCCCAGGTTCCCAGCGGGTTTCACTCCTCACCGATACATGGATCAGCCCAAAACCACTAATCCTTCGATCCTGCCGGTCCTCTCACCACCGATGGGGCGGAAGGCTTATGTAGGGGCCTGTTTTTCAAGGGAGGGGAGCTTTGAGCCCGGTTGTGTACATCATAGGCAAGGGCTGGGTAAATGGGACCGCAGCATAGGAAGGGATGTGTTGCTTGGATATGGGATGCTGGACCCGGATTCCAGCGCATTGGTGCTTCACTCAAATGATGTAAAACATGTTAATGTGTCAAAGGGACGCTGGACCCGGTTTCCAGCAGGTGATGCTCCCCACCTATAGATGGAACGGTCCGCCAGGCAAAGCCTCGACCTCGGTGGTTCTCTTACCACCACTGGGATGGAGGTCTCGTATAAGGACCTTAAATCAACAAAAAAAAAAAAAAAAAAAAAAAAAAAAAAAAAAAAAAAAAAAAAAAAAAAAAAA